TTTTGGCACTTTGATGGTGCTTGGTTTGGCAAGCAAAGAAAGACAGTTTGGAAATTATCTTTATAGCTACCTCTGGTACTATTCTTCAGGCTTACTGTTGGCCAATAGAGAGCTGATTGTTTCCTCTAAATGGGCCTCAGTCCACAACCTTTGCTTTTATAGAATAAACCCTTTATTTTTTATCTTTTGCATGAATCCAAGCTTTTCCAACCTGAACTTTTTGAAATAAAGGTATACCTGTTTAGTTTATTTTTGCATGATGACCAAATTCACAAAATGGAATAGAACTTTTAAGGCTTGATAGTATTTTACAACTATAACCAAAAGTCAACAAAAGTACTATCAGCTATCTGCCAAAAAACATGGTCAGGAAATAGCAAATGAGATTTAACCTAGATAAGTACAAGTAGTATGTCTGGGGAAATATAATCTTAAGTCATAAACTTGAGGTCCAACTCCATACTCTCCATGAGTCAAACTCCCAAATATTTCCGTTCTGTTGGCTATTAGAGTTTACTTAGGGAGCATACAGTTCTGTTCTAAACTATATTGGAAGAGCAATTATGTTGGATAGTTTTTAAAATGCACCTGCAATTTTATTCTTGGAGGAAAAGGTGCTATTTTAAAAATTACTCTAGTTATGAGAAAGAAAAATAAATCTGATGCTTGTTTGTCATATGATATTATAGAAACGTAAAAAGAACAATCAAGCCATTGCCTTTCGGGTGGGGGAGGAACAGTGGCTGCCACACTGAGGAGTCATACTCCAGGCACTTGCTAGATATCTCTTTATAAAGGTAAAAGCAGCTCACAAGTGGGTATGTTAAGAAGTGGGATGATCTGGATAAAAGCAAACTGGAAGCTCAGGGAATCTCCACCTATAACAGCAGTTGGCAATAAAAAGCTTAGACATGCTAAGAAAGCAACATGATTAAAAGAAAAAAATAAGCAAATTTAATATTCAGAAAGATTGTGCCTCAGGTTTTTTTGGGGGAAGATTTACCTAAAAAGAAAGGATCAGGTGATTTTAATAGTTATTAATATGGACAATAAAATTTAGCATAGTTATTATCTGTAAGACATAGGACATGGGTAAAAGATTACTTGAAAATTAAAGTATTTGCTTTAGTAGAAAGTTGGCCAGGAACCACAGTGTTGCGTACCTCATTTGGTATCCTAAGCTTTAAGTGCGTAAAGATAAAAGTAAACCGTTCTCCTACCCCACATCCTCTCTTTACATACTTCCAAAATCTGTGATATAATTAAAGAATTTGATGATATTTTTTTAGAAATCTTGAGAGGGGAAGTGTATTTCCTAATATTAGTTAACATAAATGGTTTAGAAAACCAGTCCCAGTGTAGCAAGACATTAGATGTTAATGTCAAAATAATATGTATATGTCTAGTGAATATTCTCCCTAGTTCATACATTTTTAGGGGCGCAATAGGCATAGAAATTGACTTTCATTGTATAGGATGCTCCAGTTCACTAAAAATCAAATGTTTTTTTTTTTTTAAAGTATTCAGGTCCTACAACTTAGGGACCATGTCTTTAGTCTTGTGCATAACTTGTATTGGTATTAATGCTCTTAATCAGTTAATCAATTAATGCTCTCCAGCCAGATGCACTCTACACTGAAGGAATTAGTGTGATTCTTTAAGTGATCCAGCTAAGTGAAAGAAGAAAGGTCTGTGTTGGGATAAATGATTAATCCATTAAAAGTTTCTTTAAATGGTTCCTGTTTATAAGAAACTTCCTAACTCACACCTGGAAGAAGGTTCTCTCTTAGCCATTCCCATATAGTCTTTTGAATCTCTCAGGGATGTTAGGAATAAATTGTGATCTAAGTCAGTGGGTTAGATCTCCATCCTCTTTCTTAAGGAAAGCTCCCATCAGGAGCATTTGGCAAAGTTTTCTATATGAAATTACATTGTCAAACCAAACAATAAAGTAATTTTTGAAAGTTGTGTGTGTGAAAGGGAGAGCAAAAGGGAGGAAGAGGGAGGGAGAGAGGGTGGGAGGGAAGTATAAGAAATATCTTTTGAGTCAGGATTGGTCATAATATACCTAACCTGTCAGTGTAGGCAGAATACAAATGCTCAAACAACTATGAAACTCCTGTTGAAGTTGCCATCTTACATCTGTATTTGAGATTTTGAATATGACCGGGACTTAAGTGCACATTTCTGTCCCATGTGTTCTGTGTTTATGCCAGGTGCCAGAGTATAAATCTACATGTAAACATTTTTTGTGTGCCTTCATGTGCAAAAAACTTTGTCCTTTCTTTAATTGTATATATTGTAGGTTAGGATAGCAGCTAGGGTTAGCATTTTATAACATGTAAAAATCCAAATGTTTTAAGTCAAATATTAACTAGCAGATACATACTTAAGTCCTTAAGGCATTTACTAGTTACTCACATGTAAATTCTCCAGATTAAATATATCTATATATCAATAGATGAATATAAGTACATATATTCTCAAATGTATAATTATGCAGATTTCCTTAGGTTTTGGCTTGCTATTGCAAAGGATATTCAACCTTTTTTTGAAATTGTTTATTCATACTTGCGTTCATGTCAATTGAAAAAAAATAAGTATTTTTGATGGCAAAATGAGCCTATCTTGGGTAGTATAGTGCATTTACAGATTGTGATCCTATGCTAAGGCAGGACTGTACACCCACACTGTGTGCCTGTGACTGATTTGGGATTTGGATTTCTGATTTGGCTGAGAGATGTGTAAAAACCTCAAGTAGTCAACAGCTCCCTATTGGCTGTGCATCTGAGGGGCTCAAGAGCATTGTTTATTCCAGCAAGTGTCTGGAATACATTAGGCTCAATAAATTGGCTCCTGCTACTCCCGTTTTGGAGAATATGAAGAATTTGTATACTGTGCTAAAATAAATGCACTTTGCTCAAATCACAATTTTCCTTATAGAAAATTTTGAATATGACTATCTTCTGAATCTACACCTGCCAACATTTTTAACACGTGGCATTACTGAAGTGCAATAATGAAATAATTCTCCACACCTTCAAATTCAGAAACTCATTCAAAATTTAGATGTTTTTATCCAAAGGTCATATGAATCTAGGTTTTGAGAAGTTAAAAAAACAAAATAGTAGGATACTTGGGTTGAGAGTTGTTCCATATTTTCTAAAGGAAATACCAAGATCAAGGATCAAAAGTCTTGTATTAAAACACAAAGATTTTAGGTTATATGTTACTTCTGAATTATAAGGATTGTTTTTTAAATATGCTTTTAAAGCAAATAGTCTGCCTGTAGACTTTGACAAGAAACTTTCATTGTCTTTAGAGTGTTCTTAGCAATCATTTACATTTGGTAGTTTAGGTTATTGCTGCTCCTTCTTTAAGTACAACTTTTGATTTAAAAGACTCTGAATCAGTTTCTTTATGTTATGGATTTTTTTTTATATTTGTGAATGGGTGGAAAGGAAAAACTGATGAGGAAGGCAAAGTCATCCTTATGAACTGGCTAAGAGTAAATATTTCTCTTTGAATGGGGTATTGGGATTTTATTGAATTAGCATAATTTATCATGTATTGACTTCTACAGGAAATACTCTTCACCCAATACACAAGGTCTTTTTTGGAAAATTTCTGAGTCACACACATACAAACATCCAAAATAGTTTAGGACTAAAAACCAGTCTTTGTGTGGATTTCTAATTATTTCCTCTGTGTTAGTCTTATCTCCAAATCTATAATCTGTGGTCTTTGAAGGTGAAGGATTAAGTCTCATTGTTCTGACTCTAACTTCATGGTATCTAGTACAAGTCAACAGATACTTGATGACTGATAGAAACAACCGAAACAACTGTAAAGCGTGTGAATCTAGATGATTTTGAAAGAGTGTACCATAATACCCGTATTCATGCCACATTTTATATTTGCCTAGGCCCTTTTGCTTACTCTATCTCATTTGATGTGAATAATTGAGTGGGAAATAGGGAAGGGATTTCATTTAGGAGAGAAAAGGGAAAACATTTTAATGCTCACTAAAAGTGATGAGTCCCTATAAGAGCAAATCATCAAGGTATTTGCGTATCTTTCACTACTTGTGATTGGATTCTCTAATCAAGAAAGAGGAAGTTCCCAAAGAAGGCATATCTCAGATTACTGACCTATAATGGATGCTTCATCTAATGCTGAAATATTTCACATGTTGAATCAAAATTTTCTCTAGGACTCATTAAATCACAAATGCAGTGGGACTCTGGGGTTACAGAAACTTCCCCCCTACCCTCCCAAAGAGTTTCTTGATGCAAAGAAAGGCAAAACATTTAGTAGGAAGGATACTGGACGATGTGTGGATAGTTAGTACAGGCTCCCCTGCCTGCTTCTGGATAATGCAATTCTCTGCCTCAGTTTCCCTGTCTGTAATAAATTAGAGTACATACCTGTAAGACCACTTCTAAAATTCTGAAATCTGAGGTTTTAATTAGTTTCAGTCTGATGACTTATATCCTACCCCCACCACCAAGAAAAAAAAAAATCATCATAATCCATCCACCCTTCGTCTCAGGCCCAGATAATGCACACGTAACTTTCCCATGCTAACTGAGCAACCCGCCTCCCACCTCCCACTCCACCTCCCACCCCTGCCCCCACCCCTTTCAGTTTAAACACTGCTAGGGCCTAGGCTTCCGAGACACCCTGCGGGGCTTGGGCAGCAGGCCCAGGCTCAGGATCCTAGCAGGGGGGAGTTGGGGCCCAAAGAGGGAGCTAGGAGAAAGGGGGAGGGGGTACCAAAAACATCAGAGGGTCCTGGGAAGAGGGTTCTCATCTCCGTCCCTGGTATGACTGCACACTCTTGAGCCTAGTAAAGGGCGCCCCTCAACCCGGAGGCACAGGCGCATTTAAAAAGGAAAGAAAGAAAAAAGCCACCACTGGCTCGAATTTCTGGAAGCCAGAGCAGCGTGTGCCCGAAACATCGAGACAGAACCCCTCTTAACACTGCCCTGGCCTCTCGGTTACCCATTTTCGGTTTGATTTCGAAGAACCGGTTCCTCAGCCCCGCGTCGCCGAAACTGTGACTCGAGTAAGTGCAGCCGCCGGGCCCCCGCGGCCACCCGCCCGCCCCAGCGCGCTCTGCCCACCTTCGCCCAGGGCGGCCGCGCTCCCGCCCCTGCCCGGGCCGCCCGGCCGGCTTTGGCCTCCAGTTGCGCTGCGGTGACGGGGCGAGACTTTGTTGTGAAACTAAATCTGACCCTTTGGCTCAGAGGCAGCGGCCTACAGCCCGGGCCGCTGACGCCCGCGTCCCCAGCCAGGACTGGGGCGCAGCGACCGGCGTCCGGGAAACAGTGCAAGGGGCGCAGCTGCCGCGGGGCCCCGACCTCGGAGCGGGCGAGTGAGCGGGTGCCGGGGGTACCCCAGCGCGCCCGCCGCTCGCAGGTCGCCTGCTCGGCGTGGGCACCACCGCCAGGTACGCGAAGTCACCTGGAAGGGCGCGGAGGCGGCTTGCAATGATGGGGGACGCTCGTCGGGTCCAGCCGCGGTGAGGCGCCGGCGTGGCCCCTCTGGCACGCAGCGTTAGGGCGCTGCACGTGGAGGGATGTGTCTGGGGCGGGTTTGTTTTCCTTCTGGGAGGTGGTGACTGAGTGGGATGTAGCGGGACTTGGGGAGGGGAGGTTCAGCTTGGCCTTATTTGATGTTGTGATTGCTGTCTTGGACGTGTGCTTCTGCGGGAAGCTCGAGCAATGGGAAACATTTGGGGGAGCAGTTTGGGCAAACAGCTATTTATATTTAGTACTTTCTAGCCCTCGGAGTTCCTTTCTTGGCCAAAAATGGCTTGGTGGTTATAACAAATAGGCCTGTTATAAGAATTAAAAGATGAATTGGAGGGGTCAGCACAGGGAAGGATTTTTATTTTTATGAATAATAAGAAAGCAATGAAAAAATAACAGGATCTTTGCTTTGCCTTTGGTGAGGTTGGGGTGGGGAAGGATAATGGATACAGTATAAGCAATTTTCATTGTTTTCTTTATATGGATTAAGACTCACCAACTTTTTTGTTCTGATAGCCAGACTGGTATGGTAGCTAGGTAAGTTGTCTCATAAAACTCAAAGTTTCTTGAAAAAAAATCTGGTTGGAGAAGGACTCAGAAATGTGAACTGATAGTATTGATATTTCCAGAAGAATCAGTTGCAAATATCTACACAGTACAAGAGATCCCAGCTCTGAGTGAAAATTGCTGGGATGATGTAGATGCAATATGTCCATGTAGACCGGGGGAGACATTCTTTCATCCTCTTCCCGGACCCTGGTATCCTAAGCATCCTGTGTTTTTTGCTCTGTGCTATCTATTCAGCCAACACTTCGGGAAAATGTCATGTATCAAGCATCTTTCTATAGTATAAAAATTATTCCTGCCCTGAAGGAGTAGTCAGGTGACAGTTGTCACCAAATGTGACTAGTGCTCTTATGGGGGAAAAATGCAGGTGTGCAAAGGCTTCCTGGAGGAGGGGACTGAGTGGGTCTGGAAGGCTATGTAGGAGTTTGGGTGAAAGGTGCATCCTCCTGGAGTAAAGTTGCACCAGGAGCATCTGAAATAGTCTGGTTTAGGTGCAGGTCAGCAGGAGAGAATTAAATTGCAAGAGAGATGCGCAGAGATGGTAGCTGGGAAACCCTGGCACACATTGCAAAGGACTTGGATGTCAGACCAAATCAGACTAAATCAGACTTGTTCCTTGCTCCAAATAGCAACATCTAACAAGTTTCATAGTTTGGAACATGTGAATATCTTAGAAAGAAAGCAGAGAAAAAATGGTAATTAAGATAAGTTACAGAACAGGAATGATAAAAAAAATTATTAGTGGGATCATTTAGCTTTTAAAAATGTCAAAATGTCCCCAAATAGTAATAGAACACTACAATAAAAATATTGTTTTACTAATTGTTATTTTAGTAATGCATCTCCTAATAGTGTAGAATTGTCCTTTAGTGGTTGACTTACATGATAATTTTTGGATGTAAAACTAGAGACTGTTAAACATAGTGCATTACAGTTTTATAACCTTTCATCCTTGACAAAATGCTTATCATCCATTCAACACATATTTATTAAGCATGTACTATGGGTAGGAAGGATTGTCAATCTTTTCCATCTTATTGAATGGTATTAGTGTCATTGTAAGATAAAGAAGCATGCTCAGACCTGTATGCTATAGAGTCAGAGAGCTTAATTTTTCCAAGATTACAGATCTGACTAGTGCCAGAGTAAAAGACTCCAATTCTTACTTTCTGTAAGTCTTCAATATCTTTTTCCCTAGCCTTGACTCATTAGGACTAGCTGTAATTTTTACTTTCCTCCCCAGTACTATTTTAATCAGTGACTTGAGAGAAGGAAGTTAAAATAATGTTTTTTGACTGGCAAATTACGCAAAGCTGGAATGGGTATCTCACTCATTAGCTTGCAGAATCATGAGTTAAAATCTGAATGCACTTGACTGACATGAAGAAACTAACAAAATGAAAATTTCACAGGGGTGAATTAATTCCTCAAATATAGATCAGAGGGATTGTGCCTTGAAAGCAAGACATTTGCAGAAGAGTTTGAGTGTCCCTAAGCTTAGTAAGTTCCACTGCTGTATGGATCCAGAAGCCACTGACCTACAGACTTGTCCTTTGGAGGGTGAATCAGAAAACTTAGTAACTTGTTTTAAAAAGGACAAGTCTTCAGATCTTGGGCCTAGAGAGGAGAGCCCTTAAGGGATATCATTATAATCTGCTAAGAATTGTTTTACATAGGAAGATAATTGAAATATATTTGGTTGGTGCGGAATAAAAATTGACCCTAGAGGAAAGGACTTTGATGGGTCTGTTTTAGCTCAGTCTAAGCAAAAACCTTCTAATGTTTAAGCCTTCTAGTTATAGACCAAGTGGCTTGCCAAGCTGGTTTAGTTTCTGTCCCCAGAAGCGCTTAAACAGAAGAGCTTGGTGATCTGTCAAGGATATTTTGGGTGATTTCTGCTTTAGATGGAAATTTGTATTCTATAATGTCCTTATGTGGCCCCATCACGATATCCCAATATACCATATATATTCCTGTTATATCACTGATTAGATATTTTTCTCACTGAACTAAGGGAAAGCAGATTCCTTAAAATTGTCTAGTTTTGCTATAATGTATATTGTCCTTTGATTTTTTAAGAGTGACATTCAAAGAAATCCTGAGTCAGTGCCTCCTTTCTGACAACTTCATGCTGTCCCCATTACTGTCTTTATTTTCAGTCTTTATAGTGTACAATTGTCCTTCAGTGATTGACTTACATGATAATTTTTGGATGTAAAACTAGAGACTGTTAAACATAGTGCATTATAGTTTTATAACCTTTCATTCTTGACAAAATGCTTATCGTCCATTCAACACATATTTATTAAGCATGTACTATAGGTAGGAAGGATTGTCAATCTTTTCCATCTTATTGAATTGTACTTTATTTACTGTCTTTATCTTCAGCCTCTGAGACTACAGTCCTGCAGTCATATTCAATCAAGCAATCCCTGCTCTAGTCAAAAAGCTGCTAAAAAGTCAGAGTCAGCATCCAGGAAATGAGGAAATTGCCTTGTTAAACTTTAGTTGTGATTGTCAAGGTAAGAGAGTGGTGATGGAGCAGATCAGGGAAGCCTTTACTCTCTAGATGCTCCTAAACTAGTATACATAGTAGATATTAACTCTAAGGTCTAATGATGAAGTTGGATTTCCTGTACTATATATGTTATCTCATGAGCTGGATGTTGAAGTCTATGTCTAGATCCATAGTTAAAATTCCCTTTGATTTTTAGCAGCAAAAGCCAAAGAAGAGGCACACAAGTCTGAAAAATGTTCTTATTTTTTATAAATATAATTGTTTTTTACATCTTGACTACTGAACTTAACGTGGTCTAAGCACACACCAGAAAATTTATGGATTTGATTGGGTATTCCTGAAAATCATATCACCATTCAGCATTCTAATTTAAGTCTTTAAAAATTAAAACCTTCAGTATCATATCAGTTACTGACATGACAAGTAGAATCTCAATGTTAAAGACAATTGTATATTCCTAATTTTCATCTTTTAAACCAAGAGCCCCTTCTGCACTTAAAAATGAGCATGAGTGATTATTGAACCTACTTAATTTACTTAAGCAGGAATAAATATCATGACTGTATTAGAAAAGGGAGTGTTGGTGGAAGAATATGTAGATCAGCACTAATATCATGTGTGGTTTGGAGGGATAAAGTCTATTATTCTTTTTTTTAAAGTTTTATTTATTTATGCATACAAGAGCTGGGGTACAGGCCAGAGTTGAGGGGGGAGAGAGGATTCACCAGAGACAGGGGGAAACAGAACAGGCAGATTGATCGAAGTACATTGCTGATGGGAGTAGTGGGTGAGTAAGGAGAGGTTTGCTGCGCCATGTGGGTTGCTCCCTGGCCAGCCTGGGATGGAGCTCGTGCTGCTGAGTCTGCAGACAGCTTCGTAGTGTGGTGCTTAACCCCTTGCATCACAGGGAGGCCCAAAGTCTATTATTCTTAATGAAGAAGATAGTCACTACCAAAATGCTGTGTTACTTTCTTGGCTATACTGGAAAAAAGAAAAGAGGTTGACAAGTGTTAGGAAATGTGAGTTGTGGCACATTAAGAAAATTCATTTTATTAAAGCATATATTTCACTGTATTTTGACAATCACAAAACCATTGCTATCAAGATATAGAACACTCCTAACACTACCAAAAGTGCCATCAAGCTCCTGGCCCACATTCCTAGCTTGAGGCAACCATGGTTGGTCCTGTTTTCTACTTCCTATGGATGAGTTTTATGGTGTATTTCTTTCAACATTTTCAAAAGCATTTGAAGGTAGGTCTTTTTATGTAAAGGCAAGGAGTAGACATTATATACCCCCAGTTTTTCTACTGAATAAAGAAAAAAATGATCATTTATAGGTGTTTATTTCAATTGTACATTAGCAAGCATAACCAATAAATGAAACCACTTTAGTTTGCTACCAGTTGTTCCACAGTATAAATCATTTTAAATCTGAAACTAGGGTCT